GCCCTTAAAACCTGGCTGTTACGACAGGCCTGGGGCTAAAGACTCACTGCCCCACTTCGAATGGTATGATTGTTGCACTTTTAACTATGTATGGGTTTTTTATGTTTTTTGTTACCCTGTTTGTATTTCCCCTCCCTTTTTGAGTTGTGAGCCGCCCTGAGTCCCCTCAGGGAAAAGGGCGGCATACAAATAAATTAAATCTAAACCTAAACCTAAACCCTGATGCAGCCCTAATGAAATCGAGTTTGATACCTCTACTATATATGGACAGAACTTTCCTAACTGAACAGCATCAGCTTTTCTATTTTATTCAGCTACCACTTTGTAATGCTGGCCAGTTAGAATAAAATGCATATATAATATGTAGTGCAAAACATACAGCATAAAACTTCAATAAAGTGCACCTCAGTCAATACTAAAAGTTTCAAAACACTTGCCTGTAATAGAGGAAGATGAGAGATCAATATGTTCAGACCCAGGATATATATGCAACCTATGCCGCAAAATTCTATTGGCTGCCATGTGGAGTGATACTTCACTTTCAGTACGGGAGAAAAAGATCAGCACAACTTGAGCCAACACTCCACCTGTGTCAGGACTGAAAGACAACCAAATGATTAATCCCAGGTGATCAGTGTGCTTATGTGATTACCTTTAGATTCTATAATAAGGCAACTAGAAGAAGAAAAAAGATAAAATGGAATACATTCAATGATTGTTAATAGCAATATTTGTTAACTTCTTAACTTTAGTCAATGTGCTAATATATTCATAAGGTCCATATTTAAATATTTAATTTCTGAATAAATGTCCTCAAAATGAGTTTAATTCCAGCTTAGTATATGGAGACAACTATGTGTGTGTGTGTGTGTGTGAGAGACACACACATATATATATTTGTAGATTTTCACGGGTGTAGGTATGCTGGTCTTCTTGTATTCGGTGTAAAATTGATATTGTTTTGGCAATATTTCAGTGAGGTCTCACTTGCCATCTTAAAGCTGGTGTTTTCAGCTTCATGTTTGTGTGAAGCCGAATACCATATATATATATATAGTGTCACAACCCCTGGTAAGCCCCAATTATGGGAAGAAGCTAACTGCTTCCCTCATCTGTCAATTGGCTCGTCACAAGAGTCCATCACGACAGAAACCCAATATTTTTACTGTTGCCTTTGTTATATTTGTGTTTTATTTCTGCTGATAAATAAATAAAGGGAGACTAGTATAGATCTATTTCAAGCTATTTAGCGCTCATCAGCTAG